GGCAATATTTAACATACTTCTGCTTACAGGCGATTGTACAAGGGAAATTACCCCTCTAATACATTTGAATGTTTAACTTATCCTAAGTGAGCTTTCTCCCCAAAGCTTAATTTACTTAAACAAAACACATCTTTCTATGATGAATTGCAAAGGGCAAGAGGGCAAAGTTCTGTAATTAGAAAGCAGCAGTTGTGAGGCTCTTCCCTAGCAGCTACTCCTGCTGCTGCCACTCAGTTTGCTGTAACTTCCATTGAGTCTCACTCACCCGCAAGCAATGAGATTTTCACACATGAATTAGGCTTTTCATTTGATAACTTCAAGGTTACAATTTAATGCTACGCCAGCGGCTCGCTATTTGGTGCAAAAAGGCCACGTTTTGAGCAGCCTTCGGTCCTCGGTGCTGCAGGAGGAGGGAGCACGTGTGGGCTGTGGGGAGGCCAGGAGGGCCAGGTGGCATGTGGGGATCTGCTTCCTCCTCCACAGCACTCATCTTCCTCAGAACATAAATGCTGAGCTTTTGGGACGGGGTTGGCAGTGCCTGACCATAGACGAAGGTGGGCAGACATTTTCCTCTGAAGAGTGGGATTGGCCCCATAGAGCTAAAATTCATGAATTCCTCATAACACGACGAGTGATTGAGACGGGATGAAATAGAAATGTGGGTATGGCATCATCCTCTGCCTGCACACAGAAAGAGGCTGAAGAGAGGCAATTCAGCTGTGTTCTTCCTGCAGAAAGAACCCAGCAGTTTGAGTTCCCTCTAATCTAGATGCTCCTCATGCACGGTAGCTTGGCACTAAGAGCTGGATAGATTCATCTTCAACCAAAATCTTAAATCCTGCTACTTTTCCATAATCTGTTTTGCTCTTTGCTTCATGTGAAAAGTAAGTCACCCTAGCAGACTAACACAGGGCGCTGGGGCCCTCTTCACTGTTGTCTCCTGCCCCATGTCCCCAGTTGAAGGACAGGATCACGACTGGAGGGCAGGGGCAGGAAGAAGCTGGACAGCCCAGGCCATGTTCCAGCTCCTCACCAGGCTGCAGATGGGCTACAGGGGCCCATTTCAACTTACTTCCTTCATCACCAACCAAAACTTTCCAAGACAGTTGAAAAATGAGGCAACTGCAAAGAAGAAAACCTGGAAGAGCCAAAACACGGAATAAGCCAGACAGTTAACTCGAGCTGAATTATCCTCACTGCACAGATGTCACTTGCATCCGTGCAAATGACAGTCCTTAATAAGCCTTCAAAGCTGACACAGTATTTATCATTGATTAGATTTTTCAAATCAAAATGACTACTGCTTTTACAAACATGCTGAGATGAACACTGACACTAACTCAATGCATGGGCTGAAGTCACTTGCAATTAAGCAGGTGCTTAAGATATTCACAGAWACTGGATTTCAAATGTAAAATATTCCCAAAGTTTTCCTCTGTGCACTGTGACAGGGTAAACTGTTCTTGCTGCCCAAAGTCTGCGCCACAGTGGAAGAAACAGTATGCAATGTTGTAAGGATATAAAACCATGTAAAGCCTCACATACCCAGGAGGGCAAATTAAGTTTTTATGAACCATTTCCAACTTACACATGTTTGACTTCACAGATACAACACTGCTTTAATGTAGTTGGATATATACCTATATATACCCCAAATAATTGTACGGGGATTGATGAAAGCCCAGAATAAACTAATTTTTGTACATTTCTGGCTACCATTTTTAGTACACTTCTAAACACAGACAGAATTTTTTAAATTATTCTGGTGAGGAAAACACCTAAGAAAAAAAAAATTAACAGATGGTTGATGCTGACAAGAGTTTTCATTCATCCCATTTCATTAGTATTTCCTTTCTTTGCAGAGCTACAAATACAGAGATGTTATCAGAGATTTTTTTTTCCCATTGTAAGAGTTAAGATATCTGATCATAACTGCTAAAGTAAATTAAGTAGCCTTTCATGAGCAGCCAACTAAAAATGCTACAGGCACAAAGGGGTTTTGATATCCAAGAAATCACAATTCATTTTGAGTACGTGGAATGGGATATAAGATGGGATGAACCATTTGTTATTTGTCATCAGTTTCATTTGATTAGAAACACACTGGTATTTACCAGTGAATAGAGTAGGAACAGAAATTGCTGTGAGCGATCAAGTAAAAAGATTATAGGTAAAAGGAGCAAATAAGAGCATATATATATATATATATATATTTACATTTCTTATCAAAGCACATGATAGCTTTCAACTAGGCTCACTATAAAGGCACTTTATTACACTAATTTCTATTCTTCAGTGAGAAAATTTCTAGGTTAAGTAGAAGTTAATAAAACCTCAGTAGTTTCACAGACATTTACTTGGCAATACATTTGACAGCACTCAAACATAAGAAAACAATAGAGATGTTAAGTACGACTCCACTGACGTGAAAACCACTTACAGAAAGTTTTCTCAAAACGAAGCCTTTTTTGATTATTGTTGATAATTTGCCAGTCAACATCAGAGAGTGCAAGACGACAACTGTCTTCCTTGCTGTGCCAGAAATTGCTGAGGAAAACCATGTACTACCATGGGAGTACCCAGGGAAGGGTGGAAAGAACTTCTATGCTGTATAAAACAGGAGCTTCTTCATAACTATGCCAAAGAAAGCCAATTAAATGATACTTATACAGACTAAACTATCCATCTGTCCCTATGCTGATGGATAGCCTTTCTCCTTTGGTACTTAATCCCCTTGACACCTAGTTCGTACTTAGCCAATCTATTTTTAGCATGTGACCAGGCAGAAGAATGTATCAGAAAACAAACAAAGAAAAGAAAAAGAAGAAAGAAAAAGTTATTGCTCCATCTAAGTGTTCACATAACGAAAATGTTACGTCAGTTGCTCAAATTATTCCCTAGATGAACATCTGTATATATACACCCTCCTAAACGTATGCTTAGATAGTTACACCAGTATATGCATGTAGATACACGTGTATATATGTGTGTATGTATACATACATTTATTTATTTACACGTTTGCTCTCTCATTTCAGCAGGAGCACACTTCAGCAATAAGGCAATGAAAAAGGGTAAGAAGGACGGGGTAATTTGACAATACTCCTCACAGATGCAGTTCAACTCCAGCATGAGCTACACCTATCAGCACAGCAAAACCAGAATAAATGAATAAAGAAGTGATATGGGGAGATATTCAAAGATTACTGACATTCATTTCATTGCATTAAAAAATATGAACGGATTAGGTGCCACATTTTGAAAACAGGAATATTATTTTTAGTAGGTTTCATTTATAGGCAGTCTGAAGATTTCCAAGTGGGCATACAGAGGACCAACTTTACTAAGTACTTTATTAGGCCTGGAGATTTTATTAACTGTGTATGAGACAATAAAATCTAATCATGCAAATAAGATTGAAGATTCTGACACTCACAGTAGAAGAATTAACAAATAGCCATCTTGATTCCTTTTTATATAGACTAATGAAATATKTAGAGTAATTGCTCTGCAAATACTGAAGGACTAGAACTGTTAATTACATATAGCTTTAAAAAAGTATGCCTATTAATTAATAAACCATAGAGCCTTTGACATGACAATTTATATCCTCCAAGAGAAAAGGAAAAAAAACCACACAAGGGCAAGAGTATCTAGTATAAAAATAATCCACACAGTTGACAACACTGTTTTAATTGTCTTAGGCCACAATTAATGTTGGCCCTGTAATTTATTTTTTCTTCTTTGATAGTTCCTTAGACTATACAGATTAATTCTTCAAGCATCAGCATTTACTAATAAGCATTTTAACAAACTACAGCACAATGTTGAGACCAGTGCAAGAACCTCTTCAGTGACCTTCCAGAACTAGATTCTGTCTGTCCATAACGCTATGTTATATATCGAGGCAATTGGCCATAACTGATAAAGGGTTGTGACATGATTGAACCACTTCCCATCAACTGTGAGGACATAAAGAACTGAAACTGCCATGCACAGTGATCAAGAATACGGCCAAGGAAACACAAATCAGGCATATTTGGAAATAAAAGAGCATAAGCAGCCTCAAGTCATCCTCCATCATCAGATAAAGCAGGACTATGGTAAACTGCAGCACTAACTAGAGTTAATGGACCTTGGTAATTTTATATCATGTGGATATTCTATTTCTTCTATCTAGAATTAGTGTTAGTATTTAGATATTTGTCCAGGGCTTTAAAGTGGAAAAAAAAATTAAAAAGATTGCCTACACATTTCAGATTTTAGAATGTATTTAGATAAGAACATGGTTATAACTGTTCAGATTTTTAAGAAAGTCCTCAAGACACAGATCCAGGGTTTAATGTGACCATAGTACAATTTAAATTAAAATTATGACACAAAAGTAATTAATAACTCCTTAGATTAAAATGTCTAAGGTCCAGTGTTGAAGTCTCTGTTTACACAGGCAAAATGTCACTAAGGTCCTTCTCCAGCATTCACTTACCATAGGGATAGCACCACATAAGGATTTGTACAGAAGCAAAAGGAGCAAACTTGGTAAGAAGTCAAAATGGTGTCTTTGTACAAAATTAAAATATTCACAGGTTTAATTTGTTATACAATAAACTACAATGAGGCAATAGTGATTTTATGATAGCTGTTACACCACCAGTGCTATTAGTCTTACACTATTAATAATTGAAACAAAACCAGTAAAGATGAGTTTCTATTTATATAGTCTCAACTGAATTAAAATTATCCACAGAACTCTTTTTAAATCTAGATATATGACACAACATGACAGAGGGTTGCTTGCAGTGGCTGTGATACTGAGGTTCTTGCTTGTCCTTGCTAAGTGAATTGAAATCTAAAAACAAACAACAAACCCCCCTAAAGCCCTGTAACATTGAGTAGAGGTGAACTATGAAAGGTAAGAGTTATAGTGCACGGTGATTCAGTGCCAACAAAAGAAGAGGATGTGGGGAAGATTTTATGTGCGAAATTGTTTCATTTCTTACCTCCAGAGCCTTCAAACGCTCTAACAGCAATTTTGTCTTTTCTTTCTCCTCTTCAGTGCTGCTGCTTTCACTTCTTGAATCTTCATCTATTGCCCCGTGCTTTTTCTCCGTACCTTCTTTACATTTTCTACTGTCTTCTGACAGCTTCTCCTGAAATGATTTTTTGAAATGTCATTACTCACAGGTAAAAATGAAATTAACTGTGCAAGGGCCTTCAAGTCTCCTTTGTACATGAATGAAAAAAAAAGAGACAGCAAGTTGCCACTTACATAATTAGAGTACTAAATAAATGAGGGAATGAGAGGTCTGTTAAACATGCTGCCATGCCTATTCTGCAGAAGCATATGCACAACTCATCTCCTGTATCTATTTAAGATTTTAAAACCATGGAACTCATCATTTTTGTTAATCAAATAACTTGCATTTTCTTCTTTAAAAGTAGCAATGTGAATTGAGCTTACCAGCTTTCAGTGGAAAGGTTCTGCCACTGAGATAAAAAGCAATTTACCCAGGGAAAACTAACATATGTTTATGTCTAATGTATTTTACCCTTCTCCATCTAGAGCTAATATTTGAATTAGTAAAGAACGGGCTGACAACCACACTGCTCCCCGATGCAGTATATTCTACCTGCTGGTTTCAGATCTACTCTAACATATAACTTGGGGCACTCAAACTGACAGCAAAATTTGCAGAAGGGCCCCAATCTATTTATTATCTGTCAGACCAATTAGGTTGTTATTAGGTGTTGTCAAATGGGCTAAGGCTGCTGCATTTTACAAGAGGTCTATAAAAACCATAGGTTTGAACACTGAGTCCTATTAAATACATTAGTTATGTGTCCAGGTCCTGTGTGTGGAGACGGTGAGCATCACAAGTGAGCAAAATATCACGAGTACAAACAGGCAGTGTAAAATACTGAAAAAAAGGACAAGCATAAGTGAAAAAAAAAGAGATCAACTGCACAGAAAGACAGGGCAAATTATCACTTAAGTGCAGCACAAGGTAGGCTGAGTCCATGCTGAAACCCACGCTCTCCATCACAGACACAGGGTGACAACTAATGAGAAGTTTAACGTTGGAAAACAGGAGGTAAATCAATACAAAAAAAGGTGCTGCCACAAATCTAGAGATCTGGAAAGAGCATCTATTTTTTGTGTGTGCCTTTTTGATATGTGTGTGCCTGTTTGTACATACACAAAAGGATATAATTCGATCATCTTCAGGTTAATCTATATCCTCAGAAGCATCTCCCATAAATAACACTCAATGCAAATGCCATCCAAGCACAAAAATATATGTTTTTGTGAAGAACTCATCCAGCTTGAGTAATTTGCTAAGCATGTGGTAACTCTTTGAGAGTTAACAGCAGCACATCTCCTTAATTAAAACMCAGAAATGCAAGTGAATTAAAAATCAAACAATGTGAATCACACTCCTAACAATGTCTCTTTAAAATAATTAACTAGCTTAGAAAGTGACTATTGCCATGTTAAAACTTTAATCAAGGATCAATTTTATCAGCCGTGGCCTTAATCACTGAATACTCTTAGCCAATCCATGAGGCACAAATCCCATTTGGAGACTTCCCCTTAGACTTCAAAGAGCCAATCCAAAGGTCCCAGCAACAGTGTTATCCTCATCATATAGGAACCATAAATATATTACGTTTGCTTCTTACTTGCTAGTGCAATGATCAAACATATATGAAAGAGCCATTAAACAACCCTGCTGTCAAGTTGCCAGGATAAGTACATTTACCTAAACATACCAATCAACTGAAAAAAAAATCATTTTTTTCATTTTTATTAAACACAGGCACCGCTTTGATGCAATTCAAACATAAACAACTGACTTCAGGAGACAGAGATGTGATTTAGATAGGGCTAACAGGGGAAGACACCTTTCCTGCTCACCTACACCTCTAACACCTCGTGTCAGCAGAGAGAAAATACAGAAATTAAATATTCAGGTCTTATTAAAAGGAAACCAGGTTTTTGCTGCTCACTGTAGTCCCATTCCCACTGAAATTAATGAGAATTTTGCCATCAAGTCCCACAAGAGTAGGTTTTTTGGAGCTGGTTTCAACTGTCCTTGCTGTTCTGGAAAAAATAGTATTTTGCAGACCTAAAATGACAACCTATCCTGCCTRTTCTTCCTATGTGCTCAGATTGACCTGTAAAACACAGAAATAGTCTWTTGCTCAGGAGGCCTTTGGTCAAGCACTGCGGGACTCGCAGGGAAAACGCAGGTCTGGCGAAGCCGTAGAGCGCAAAGACCTGGCTGCAACTCATCACACAGCTGCTCTGCTGCCGCGTGAAGGAGCAGGGGGCAGCGTAATACTATTTCCACTGAGAAATGTAAAAAAGAAAGATGAATTAAGAGAGCAGGAAATTCGCTTGGAAATCCAATGATAGTTAACATGAATATACAAAGCCAGTCTTCTCCCTGCAGCCCACCTTTGTGAATACTGAATAAGAGAGTGTCTCCCAGATTAGRCACAAATAAAGGGAGCAGCTATCACCAGAGGAAAGATGGTGCAGAAGCTTTCAAGAAGATGCAAGACACCAAACTACATCCTCCAGCACCAGGACAGGCCAAAGGCCACCGCTCTGGACACAGCTCCAGGGGACAAGGTCACCTGGACAAGTCCGTGATATCAAATGATCACATTGTTCTCCAGGGAACGCAAGGTCCCATTTTAACTTACTGGAGATCCAAGCACAACCTGCACAAGCCAGAATCTTTTGAGGGAACAGAAATCATTAACACGGTCACCCAGAGGACAGATGCCCACGGGAGCAGCTCGCACCAAATATGATCCAGATACTTCCTTGAATCTTTGAGCCCGTGGTGATATTCAGGTCTACCCTTGACAGGTGGCTATAAAAACCTACCTAAATATAACCCTGATATAACTGGGTCAGCTTTGAGCAGGAGCTTGGACTAAACTTCTGAAATTTATTAACAATATTATAATGGTTGAAAACTGAAATTCTTCTGAGACTCTTGGCTGCATTTACTCCAAATAGCACACTTTAAATACACATTCAACCCAAGATTATAATGTACACAGGACACATAACAAAGTATTGCTTGCGATTGCTCCTAATCACTGACTCGAGGGAAAACACTCAAGATTGTTCAAAATGYAGCTGCTAACACACAGTATATAGAGGCAATGGTAACAGTGGTCCAAGATTCCCATCAATATTCAAGCCATGMTCTGTGAGCTAATGAAACTGCCCAGAACATTTAGCACCTTCCATGAAAATGTCTCGGAAGCTTCCAGAGGACTTTCTGAATGAAACATCAAGCTCATAGTTATCTTAGGTTTGAGCAACCAGATTTGCTGATCCTTTCACCTCTGTCATTCCATTCTATTTTGAAAGCATCCTCTTAACTCCCATACTCAAACKTCAAACTACAAAAACATACATAGAATTGTTTAGGGAAGAACGAATGCTGCATGTTGTCTCTTGGGAAGCCATCCTGCAGGCTTGCTGCACTCTGAGATGAGGCACTCACGACGTTCTCAGCCTGCAGACCTGCTGGGGAGCAGCCCTCCTCGTGGCTGTGAGGAGCTCTGTGAAGGAGCATCTTCACATTGCTGACATGGACACAAACTGCACACGAGCATTTCGTTGTGCTTTCCTGGAAAACAGCCCCAAGCCACGTGCAACCAGCTTAATTTCAGCGACTGCTGCCAGTACTACTTCCTTAATATTCCAGTAAGATGAAAATTGGTTTGCAATGGCTCCTTGCTCTCTTTCTCCCCCCGACTTTTTCCTTTTAATCATAATTAACGCTTGTTTACTGTGCCTTAATCCCTCTTTAATATGCCCTTTGAAATTTGCAGTATCTTCTGATAGGCTCTGCAATGTGTCTCACACAGCAAACCCTGCGGTGCCTGGGAGGCTTGTAGGTTAATGCAGAGAGGCTGAGTTCCCACACAGTTTCCAGCAAGATGCCCCATACAGCAGCAGTCACTGGTGGCACTGTGACACCAATTTGCCTGTTTCCTCAGGTTTATTTTTTTAGTTCTCTTTATTTGGTAATGGGAATTCTTTCAATTCATTAAACTTTGTGACCCAGGTCTGGAAAACAAAGTAACCGAGAAATCAAATTAGAATCTAAAAAGGTTACAGAGGACTTAGCAGTGTGATTAAAATGATCTCTCAGTGGAAGGCTAGAAATGTAACTTCTGTTTTCAGTTTGTTTTGAAATCTATATATTCTGCTGCGTCCTCTTGTTTTATTTTCTCCCAATAGAATAGGTTAAAATATAGCTGAGCACATCAGCAAATACAAAAATAATCTATTTTTTGTGTAGCTGATGCTTTTCTTCAAAACAAGCTGACCAAAGCTGAAGGAAGCAAAAGGGATGCATAAATATCACCAAATTTTACAGAAGCATCCCAAACTGTCCACAGTTTAACATTACTGTTTTAAGCAAAATAAATAAAATTCTTCTTTTTCATCTCTGGTTCTGACTTACAAAGTGAACACATTGAGCARGAAAATTCCCTAGATTAAATACGTGTGACGAATAAAGGAATAAAGAGCTTTCTTGATATGTCTAATATGAACCTACAAGCACTCACACATCAATCTAAATCCTCTCCCTATTGCTCTTCACTCCACACACACCTCAGTATTCCAGACTATCACTCCTATCAAATGGATCTGCAGTTACGCTAATAAATTTCATGATGATGCTCTTAAATGCCTGTTCCATGTATCAGGAAAATATATTTCCTCTGAAAATGTTCAGATCTGAAGAGACTCTCAAAGAAGAAAACCTTCACAGTGAAATGAAATACAAAAAAAAGGTAAGACTAATGGGTATTAAATGTCTTAGCAGGTGTGATGAGCCTATGAGACCAGAAAGAGCAGAAGGAGTTTCTTGTCTTCAGGTCATCAAATACAATTTAGACCCCATTGTGCAAATGGACAACCCCAACCTTTGGGGCCAATTCTGGTGGCCAACTGGCCAATTTGGGTGGCCAAATCTAGCTCTGGACATCATTGTGTCCCCCCGTGCAGGGATATTCCATAGCGAAAGCAAAATGCAAGTCCCATTTTGGTGTAGATGCAGGGCAGAGGGGCAGCCCTTGGCGTGTTTGTTATCCTGCTAGGTCTTTGCAAGCT